AGACGTCGTCGCGACGCGCGGCGCCCTGGTCGCCGGCGCCCTGGCGGCGCTGGTCCTCTGCCGGCGGCGCGCCGCGCGCGAGGCGCTCCGGCGCGCGGTCGCCGCGTGGACCGCCGCGGCGTTCGCGGGCGCCGTCGCGGACCTCGACGCCTTCGACGGCGAGCTGCGGTCCGCGCGCGCGGCGCGGGCCGACGCGGATTCGGGACGGGAGCTCGCCGAGGCCGCGCGCGACGGCGCCGCGCGGGCCGCGCGGCGCGCGGGGCTGCCGCGCGTCGTCGCGGTGGCCCTGGCGACGTGGCGGTCGCGGCGGACCGGCGCGGCCTTCGGCGCCTGGGCGCGCAACGCGATGCGCGCGGGCCTCGCGCGGGACCGCGCGGTCTGGAAGGTTGCGGCGCTCGCGCGCCTGCGGAGCCTCGTGAAGCGCGTCGGCGACCTCGAGGCGAGCCTCGAGACCGCCGCGGCCGCCGCGCCCGCGGCCGCGGCCGCGGCCGCGCCCGCCGCGGAGGAGGCGCCGGCGCCGCGGCGACGCAAGGTCCCGCGACGGCCGGCGCACCGCGAGCCCGGCTTCATCCCGCCGCCGTGCTGCGAGCACGTCCCCTACCGCCTCCTCTCCGTCAAGGCCCAGGTCCCGCCGACGCCGCCGAGGCTCGACCGCAAGAAGCCGCCGCCGCCGCGCGCCCGGAGCCCGGAGCCGCCGCCGAAGACGTACGTCGTGACGTTGCCGTTTTGATTAAGTGGGGTGTGTTTTTCTTACTTGTCGGGTGGACGCGCGTGACTCACCAATTGCGTTGGCGCTGCGAGACACCGCGCGCCGGGGCTGCTTCGCGGGGCGAGGGACGAGAGGGAGTGTCGCGACAGCTTACAGCGGCGCGCGGGGCTTCAAGCTCGCGTCGGCGCGGCGCGCGCTCTCGTGGGCGCGACAAACTCGCCGCTAGTCGTGGACAACACGAGGACAAACTCCGAGCCGAAAAAGTAATTGATGACAAGCACTCCGAGCACGGCCGTGAGCGTTGCGACGACGAACACTTCGAGACCTTGAGAAACGAAGTAGAACAGGTAATCCAAGTACAAGTCCAGCGACACAAAAAGACAGAGTGCTTCGAGGAACCAATCGTTGACCAGCGAACATTTCCGGATGATAAAGAACAGCGAACATTTCCGGAGCCCACAGCGCAGTTCCTCGTTCTCGGCCCGCAGCGGCTCGGCCATCGACGGGACCTTCTTCTCGAAGCCGAAGGCGGCCGCTACTTCCGCGGCGGCCGCCGGCAGGACGCACGCGCGGTTGAAGACGGCAGCCGCGAGAGCGACGATGGACAATTTCATGGTGGCACCGGGTCGCGCGCGGTGCGAAGGGTGGAGCTGCGGGCTGCTTCTCGACCCGGACCGAGGGAAACATGTGGGAAGCATTGGCCTGGAGCTGCCAAGCTTATTATGGCTTCACTTACTCCTCGTAAAGCGTAAGATGATCATCATCCGCCGCTGGACGCTGCTCGCCGCCTGCGTGTCCGTCGCCGCGCAGGCGCGGGCGCGCACGAGTATGTGCGACGCCGACGGCACGTGCCACGAGCAGCCCGCCGTGCCCTCGCCGCGGACGCGCTGGACGATCGGCACGCAGGGCATGCGCGAGTGGTTCGCCTTCCACCAGGCTCTCGCCAACGAGGCGGCGGCCTTCGCGCCGCGGAAGCCGCCGCTCGTCTTCGTCGGCGACTCCATCACGGAGACGTGGCGCGGCACGTCCGTGGGCCGCCCCATCGCGCGCGCGAGCGGCGCGCCGGACGTCCTCCGGGAAAAGTTCGGCGACCGGTGGGATCCCCTGGCCCTGGCCATCAGCGGCGACCAGACGCAGCACGCGCTCTGGCGGCTGCAGCACGGCGAATTGCCCCGCGGCAACGCGACGTTCGTCCTCCTCATCGGCACGAACAACCTCGGCAACGGCCACCTGCCGGGCCCGACGGCCGAGGGCGTCGTCGCCGTCGCCGAGGCGCTCGCGCGCCGCGGCCGCGTCGTCGTCGCGAAGATCTTCCCCCGCGACGACGCGCATCGCTTGGCGGCGCTGTGCCCGCCGCGGTGCGGCGAGGACGGCGGGCCCTTTGCGTCCTTCGCGCCGGCGGTGGACAAGGCGAACGCGGCCGTCGAGGCGGCGCTGCGGAACCGGCCCGGCGTCGAGGTCGTGGACTGCAACGACCTCTGGGGGTCGCCCGTCGACGTTTCGCTCGTGCCCGACCGGCTCCACCCGAACCGGGCGGGCATGGCGCTGTACGCGGACTGCCTCCTCGCGCGCGCGAGGTTTCTACGCTAATTAGACCGGGCCTTCGTCTTCGTCTTCGCGCCGGACGTCGCGCANGACACGGCGAGCGCGTCCGCGTCCGCGTCC